TGTGAGTGAGTGTGAGTGTGTGTGTGTTATGGCGGGGGGTTGGGACCACCGAGCAGGATTATGGAGGCAGGATCAACACCAGTAAAGTGGTGTGCCGCTCACCCTGGATGTTCACGGCCCAAAAAATAGGTCAGTGGAACACGACACACACCGACGTCAACCCAAACGACTGCCAGTCGACACATCCTGCATCCCGACTCAAACTCTCCTCGACCTGTTCCCTTCAACAACACAACAACACTCTCGGTTTCTGACTTGGGGCAACGAGACCACCAATTCTTGACTGAAAACTGAAACTTTGAGTGTATAAAATAATATAAAAAATATTCAATTTGTTGCATTTCCAAAATATTTTATTTCCAAATCCATCTCAGGAACATTAAAATCAGGCATCAGCATCCTAACAGCCTCTTGTTTGACATTCAGCTGATTCAGCAACAGAACTTTCTCATTCGTATCAAAGCACTAACTTCATTTCCTTACAAAATAGAAATGTAAAACAATGCCACAACAACAATTTTCCTGCAATAAAAACTTGCACAAGCCCCAATGCCTCTCTCTCTCTCTCTCTCTCTCTCTTTACACGAGACGCTCTAACAGTGAGTTGGCTGACTATGATTAAAGCCTTTTGCAGCTTGACTCGCTCGCAAAAGAAGGAAGTTTACAAAAAGGACAGACACAACCACAGCATGCTTTTCTCCTCTTACCTTTCATAGCTGAAATCACAAAATACATCATTAAGCTTGGCGGTCCATAGGCGAGCGGTATCGCGAGTGCTAGCTCAAGCAGTCCACTGCTGTTTCAGCAGCAGCTGGCCAGCATAGCTCTGCCGCTCAGCTGCGCTCGCATGACCACACCAGAATCCATGTGACTCTGACATCAGCGCTCCCTCACTCTCGGGCCCGCCCCTGGGTTGTGATTGGCAGAGGAGGCGGCCAATGAAAGGTGAGGGGAAGGAGAAAAGGGGGTTGGGTCTTTTTTCTACAGACTGCAGTGGCTGTGACCGGGGCTGATGGGATGGGTGAGGGGGGTACTGGGCGACTGTCACTGTCTCTTGTGCTTTATCGCAAACAAGAGAACGTCATAACAGAAGCACGACACCAAACAAGTTTTTTTTTTTTCAGCCCGCAAAAAAAACAAACAAAAAAAAGTAAGGACTTATAAAAAAAATGGACAAATAGGAGGTGTTTTACAATGATGATGATGATTATTATTATTATTACAGAACAGAAGCATGATTCCGAACAAGTTTTATTTATTTTTTTCAGCCCTCAATCAAGATGACAGAGCAACTGAGAGAATCTTTGGTTTTAAATATTATTATAGATATTATAAAATTATTACATTTATTATGTATAGTGACATTATTAAATATTTTTTAAAATGCTAAATGACAGAAACATGCCTCAAGCAACCTAGGACCTATCTGTTATTTCAAAATTTAATATTTGATTAATATTTTAACAAACTGTCTAACAGCTTTGTACAGTTTGTTAATCAATGTTCATTATATACACACATACATTCGGATAAATCATTATTTTTAATCATCATTAATTTAATATATATAATTCAATATTTTACTACATCTATCTATCTATCTATCTATCTATCTGTCTGTCTGTCTGTCTGTCTGTCTGTCTGTCTGTCTATCTGTCCTCAAGTATTTTTGGGTATGATGCGACAAGCTTTGCACATCAGCACTTGGCATTTATCTGCTATTCTTCTCCTCATCTCTTCACCTCTCAAGCTCTGTCAGGTTGGATGGGGGCAGACCCACATTTTCAGGTTTCTCCAGAAAGATTTGATTGGGTTCAAGCTCAGGCTCTGGCTCTGGTTGTCTATAAGCCACTCTTGCTGTGTGCTTAGGGTCATTGTCCTGTTGGTAGGTGAACCTCCTGCCCAGTCTGAGGATCTAAATGCATTAAGGCTATCTCTATATTTTGCTGCACTAAGCGTTTCTTCTACTCTGACGAGTCCTTCAGTCCCTGCTGCTGAAAAACAGCCCCACAGCATGAGGCTGCTACCAGCACACTTTACTTTTGGGATGGTAC